CACTTCCTTCTGTATATTTGTTGAGTAATGGATTCTTGGATGATTTGCTGCCATTCAGAGTTCTTCATTGCTTATCCTTGCTAGCCAGCCATTTGGTCTCCAGTATCGAGTGAAGGCAAGTGTTGAGGAGAGTATGTAGCCCGTCAGAAAGGCTTCTGGTGAAGCAAGTGCCAAGTCTCTGAACCATATAGAATCTCTGACTGAAACATTGGAACTAGTGTTGAAAATTCGGATATTGTTCCTTTTACTGAGTGCTGCATATTCTTACACTGATTTCAGAGTGTTTTGTTTAATGATCGTGGCTGGTTTTGACATACACACCCTTACCGCCCACAGTTGAAACGGTGCTACCCAGTTCAAGCAAGTGAAAGAGGTGATTTCTTTGAGATTTTTCCCTCTGATGGTGATTGGCACCTATTGTTATTGTTGGTTGGTTGCATGTCTTTATCAGCTCTGCCTTCTATGTGTTCACCTGAGGTCTTGTTTTTGCTGTCTCTCCTGTCAACTTGTTTGCTTTTGCCCGTAGATCTTTGAGTTTATGAGACGCGAGACATAATCATCCGCGAAATGTAAGTCTTCTGGCGTCTCATTGTCAGTTTAGCGTATGCTCTTTGTTTCACTCTCCCCGGTCTGCTATCTGGTTTAGTGGTCCGTCTAAAACCCATAAAAAGAGGAATGGTTAGGCAAAGGGCTAGTTACCCCACCCTGAGAAAAAAACATCCCATTTGCTACGGGAACTTAAAATCACTTCCTTATAATATACTGTATATAGATAAAGTTATTTAGGGCTTTCTTTAAAAAAAGTAGACATCACTGTCAGTTGATTAGTTCACCGTCATTAAAAGTAATCATATGAGTAGAATAAACATGAGAATATGAGTTTCTGTCACAGAAGATATATATGCATGCATCTATGTGAACTGATTAGCTGTCTAGTGTCTTTAAAGTTAATATTATATAGGATGGTCTTACAGTAGATCAACCTTGATTAAGGGACAAATATAACCCATAGTATTTAAAAGTTATTTCTTGTTCTGATTTCAGTTTTACCAGCACAGACCCATTACATCGTTTAGGTCTAAACCCAACCTAAACAGGTTTTGTGGTGAACACATTCTACTGGTTGGCGATACAGTTCAGTGTTTCAAGACGCTGTACTCTCTCCGTTCCTTTTTTCTTTCGTTTTGCATGACCTACCATATTCTTCCAAAGCTATCTTCATTAAATATGCCGATGATCTAACCATTTCTGTCTCAGTAGTTTCTGCCTTGGTTTGTTCTTATTTGAATAGATTCTTAGCTGAAGTTAACAAGTGGTCACACCTAAATGGTCTTAAACTGCATCCATCTAAACAGGTCATACTGGTGATTTTATTGTCACATGCGAACAAGACTTGTGTGGACTGATTCAGTTGCATGATTTCTGTAATTTTGACGGCACTTTGATGACAGGGAATAAATCGAATATCTCTTATTTCCTCATCGGTTTCTCTTCGAATCTCTGTTGGTCGTCTCATATCCTGTCGATTTCTAATTTCTGATTTTTCGTTTGACTACTTGCATAAAGAAGTTGAGACTTTCTGCTGGCGTAAATCAACATCTTCTCTTACAATTTGCTAATTCGTGTATTTTGCCCATCCTGCTGCAATGTTCACCCTTATTCCTCCCTGGACTTCTCGAAAAAGACTGTCATATTACGTGGAACACTAAAGATTATAAATAGGGTTAGTGGTGTGTGTGCCTTTGACTCAGCTAACTGGCATTATTGTCAATAAGCACTCCAATTCTTGCAAGTAGTTATTAGGTTAAAAGTTATCTTATCTGATACTGAACATCGCCTCCACTTATTCTCACCTTTTGCCTTGTATATCTTTGGGGAGTGAAACCAGAAGAAACTTCATAAGAAGCATTTACGCTCGTACAGCTACTAAATATAAAAACCCTACCATACCACCATATTTAGAGCGAGTTTTGTGTGAAGGGCAAGTCAGATGTCAGAAAACAACTTATAAACATTTTAAATGAGTAGCTGAATTGCAAAGCATAAGCAAAGAATATTACTATTATTACATGTATTATCTATGATATTATCTACCTATACTTCATTATGTTTCCACCAACATTCTGTTTATAGTGGTTTCACTATTAATATTATTATTATTATAACTATTTTTATATATGAACATACTTATGAAATGAGCTAAATTGTTGCAATATGTATAAAAACGCCGAAAATTCCATTCCACTATTATTGTTTGGAATAAAGTGATTATTATTGAATGTCATCAGTGTATAGTCGCCTTCTTATAACTTGATCATAGTTGTGTTACCATTGGTTATAAATTTCAGATGAATGTAGAAAGGACCCTTTTGCAGTCAAGGAAATCATTGGGTTTCTGCGATACTCTGTCAAACTTACTATAGCGAATGCACACATTTTGAAAACTATTTATCTCACTATGGAATGTAAATACAAAGAGTCTGTCCGTACTGTTGCTGCTTCCATCAAGTCAGGCTTTATGTACTATTTCAGCGAATTGAGTGGGTTATTCTACTCAAGTATTTCTTAACGCAAAACTCAATATTTCCATCTGCGAAACTGCACATCAATAACTTTAAGATTACTACAGTAAATAAGAAGGTTCGATTTTGATTACTTGATTCAGTGCCTATCTCTGAAGATTAACTGGGATTCTTCATTTATGTCCTGAAAATACCTGGCATATGAGTCATAAAGTTAGAAATAGTGGTTTATATATTTTTGAGGACCACTCTCGAAATTTTAATATAATTATTGGGGAGTTTTATTATTAATGACCAAGAAACTACTTAAAATAGAATTCAGGTAATTTCATTTCATAAAAAAACTTGCGCTGACGATGTTGTCTAGTGGGAAAACGAAAGCTTCGCAATTCCATCAACCAGTTTAGACAACACAATTAAATCAAAATACCACGGTATTGGACCATCATTGGTCTACACTAGTTCTAACAGATGTTAGGGGTAAAGCAGTATTTACATATTGAGTTGAGATTTTGTATTCACATGCTTTAATCTTTAGTCATTTCATCTGTTATACAATTCAATTATCAACTAACATTCTTACTTGCACTACAAGTCTATTTACTTATGAACACTTATAAGGCAACAGTCACATCAAGAAGAATATATCTTAGTATACATTGAAAACTCTTGTTGTAGCATTTTTCTGAAACAGATATTTTTTCTGTAGAAGACCAGTTACTGATTGAAAACATCTAGTCCACTATACTTAAATGGATAGAATATCTTTTACATATTATTTTCTAAGTAGCTGTCATATAGAAGACTTCCTGAATGATTATGAAAATCAGAAATTAATTGTACATTGTAACTGTTTGTCAATTTATTCTTTTGCAATTTCAGTATGTTACGTCGTTGTTAATAGTAATGATCTTTAAGACAATATAGAACAATAATGTGAGCTATCTACTCTACATTTTGTGTATAGGATTGCCCATTGCCATAGAATCAATAATTCTTATAGCATAAACTACAGCCCATGCTGTTAGTTTATGTAAAGTCAGTGTTTAAGAGTTCGATTACTCCTATACCATACTTTCTGTGAAACTACTTTGCAACGACCAAGTGATACAAACAACAACTATATTTAATTTGTGAAAAGTAGCAAGGCCCCTGTGACAGTGAAGGGATTATATAAGTTTCCGAGTAATTGTGTAGAGACTGGTTTTCTGTATAGATCGTATGACTGTACATCTGAAGTGGCATTCGGAAGCTGTATGTCGAAATTATATTTAAGCTCTTGGCTATATGGCTGGACTACTACAGGCGTAAGTTTTTACACGCAAACTTCTTCACCCAGGTTGATAACTGCACTGGAAGTTTTCTGACCCCTCAAGCAAAGAAAGCTTCAGACACTTTAATTTTACAGACGCTATTTAAAGCCTAGTGAAGTTCAGAAAATAAGAAAATGTATGTTCTAAGTTCCATTTACTCAGATGACAATAAACTAGATGTTATACTACCACAGTTAGTATGGTCTTTCTTACAAAGTCAGCAAGGTATCCTTAAGGAAAGAAATCCTATTGAGCCAGACGAAGTTTGCTGAGAGCTGGAGATTATCAAAGTATCAGAGGTGCAGTTTTCAACAACGCACACATTGTAAGTATGCTACTACAAGCAGGGTTAGCCAGTGTAATGTTTGTAGTCCTATCACAGGCTGATTCACTCTCAACGGGAGGGCCGAATAAACTATAGGTTTACGAATCAATAGCATACATTCTCACCCTTAGACGTTCGTGTTGCAAGATGTTACGGTTTTTATCAGTGCTTTAGTCTTAATTTCAAAAACTGTTTGTATTTTCTTGTTTAGTTTAACAAACTAAAGCTTTTTTTGTATAACTTTTTTAAGTAATTCAAATGAATAAAGTCAGAAAAGTTTAAGAAAGTGTCACACTGAAAACTACATTCAAAATCGAACGCCACGTTCGCTCAAATGGTTGTAGCGCATTTAGCCTTGAGATAATTTTGAAAATAGAAATCATCGTAACATTCATAGATCCGTTGGTTCCCGAAAGGCTGCAAGTTTGTTCTGCATTATTCAAAAAGAATTCTTTGTAATTTTGTATAACTAATATTTGAGCACTTAAAAGATTAAACAAAATAGACAGAACAAATGTAAAATAGTTTTGGAACTACTTCACATAATATCAATCCGCATACGGCAATCTGCAACCAAATAGACAGTGGAAGCAGCTTTGTTAAGTGCCTATACCTCTGATCTGTTGTATTGAGTTGTACAATCTGCTTAGTTTTTGGAGCTTGCTATTTTGGCGGCTTGCAAAGGTAATTTGCGCGCACTAAAACCGGGTGATTTAATAAATTTCAGCGCGCGTTTCAACATTTTCCGTGACACTGGGAGTTATGTATTATTTGGTTACTTCGCCATCTTTCAATGCTTTGTAACGATATACACTATTGGTTTCGTACTAACAAAGTATTATGGAATATGGTAATACAAGCATGAGTGGTGGTCAGCAGATTTACGTTTCACAATCTCAAGAACCACCAAGAGTTTCAGGATCTAATCCTCAAGATCTCGTAAATGCATTTCCTGGGGTTGATTGTAATTCACCAAACCGAAACTGTGGACCTTATACACAAACATACCAAACTCATGAATATAATGGACCACATACTTCTCATATTGGAGGACCACCAGGTGTTTATCAGCAGCCGTACTCTGGTGAGGCTCATGGCCAAAGCCTGACGCTAAACCAACTCTTACAACAAAATAGTTCGGCAGCTGCCTATCAAGTCCGCCCAGTGAATAGTTCACAGGCAGTTTACCGAAATTACGACCAGTATTCATATTCATATAAACCCGGTGCACCCACATGCGTGGCCCAAGACCGAACTCAGGTAAGACAACTGTTTAATTTTAGGATATTGAAAAGTGGCTATATTTGTTGTTATATTGCCGATTTACTCGTAAGAAATTAACCTAGGTGTGTTATTCTGTTTTAATAACTCGATTCTATTCAGGGTTTCTCCACGAGAGCCAGGAAAGTTGTTAACTACTTTTGTTTCACAAGTCAAAGTCTTAAGCTCTTGAATTGGCTTGCCACAATGCTTTTTAGTTAAATAATCTAAGGGTTAATGTTCATTTGGATTATGGTAACATACATGCAAATTTATAGCTCGCTAAGACTTCGGGTGCAACTCGACAATCCTTGCACAACCCGAAATTAATTTCATATATATTTTATCCCTTTTCACTATCTGATGTTACTGTCTGTTGTATATGACATAAATGTCCTAGGTTTACGTTAATTAGAAGTGAAGGACATTATCGAGAAGTGAGAAAATTATATCACTCAAAAGCAAGTATGCACTTGAATTTGCTTTTTGCTAAAATCTTGCACAATTCAGATATGGTCTATTTTAAGTAAAAACTAGGTATCGTGGGAGGTTTATTGAGCGTCCTGTAATACCCTCAAAATCAACTGGCTACGTTAATTATATGCTTCGTTAACTACTAGTGTTTAGAGGTAAACTCATGGTGTGAAAACAAACTAGTAGTGCATGCACTCATCATATCTCTACCAGAAAACTGTAATTTTGCATGCAGCAACACCGTTCATGTCCTCTCCATCATGTATTGAGAATAAGGCTCAAAGGGTCACCAAAAGATAAAAAAACAACATATTTCTGTGTCGATCTCCTTAAAACATTTTAACCGACGCATGCTTTGTAGGTGATTTGATTTGCTTCATTTGTGAAACTCTGAATTTTATCGTTGAAAACAATGTTCCTTTGCATTCTTTTTTTTCTATTTCTTTAGCTTGTAACCAGTAGATATTATAAAGGTTTGCATTCGTATGCAGTATTAGCAAATCATGGGGTATTTTAAAAGTAATTTTTCGCATCACTGTTTATGAAAAGATACATGTAGTGTTCGGAGATGTTTGTTAACTGACTAGATTAGTTTCAAGGTGGAAGCATACTGGTCAATGTGAAGCATGCATTGACTGATGTAGGCTGCATTTGTTAAGTCACGTCATTCCTCAACTTACAGCAGCGTCTACGAAACTATCATAACCAGATGTAGAACGTATTTTCTGACCATAAACATTACTTTAGTAGATATTTCTAGTTTCTTTCGTGATAGTACATCGTTTAGATACCTGGAAAATTCCCATTTCTATGCGTGTATGCATTCTTAGAGCCATGGACACGTTACTCGTCAGCTAATCTAATTGGGTTTTAGGTAGAAAGTTTGAACTTCAAAATTCACTCAGTTTGTCAACACATACATGTCTGCATTTTTCTTCTGTATTATTCACTTTAAACCAAAAATGTGTCCAGCTGCCAACAGATTAGACATCTAGGTAACCATGCAGGCCAACTGGCTACAGAGACTTTCTATGCATCCCAGTTCACTGTAAACCAGTAACAATTCTCAACGATTAGACACTTGTCAAACTTGTTTACCAGACAACCTTAGTTCCATATTCCATAGGTAACTTGTGTAACTCCTTTTAGAGTACCATTACACTGGTTTTTATCGCTTCAGGTGACAACTTTTACATTAATGCTTGAATTCGAGTAGAGTGTGTGTATTAGCGTAATCTTCTTTCTTGGCACTTGTTCGACACATTACCTCTCAACCAATGCAGTCCAGATGTTACGCTCAGGCATTGAATTGTAAATATTAACTGCTTTCGTACTTCACAGATTCAATGAAACGATTAAAATAATATCTTAAAGCAAGCCAAGTACATAATGTACTGGTTAAGAGGTTCATTACTCCACCAGATGCTTGCCCATCATCACTTGTTGCAAGCCAATAACCATAGTATTTCTTGGCGTTGAAGTCGCAGAAGACTGCTATTTGAAATCGTGTTTTATAAGAAAATCTTGGAAAAGCCCGATGTCAGTGTTTCATGAAAGAGCGAGTATACAATCACTTTCCTCCTTTTCGTCACACAAGTGGTAGGATAAGATAGTGACTCTTGATATTACCCTTTGTTTTTAAACTTAATATCGGTGTCATTTTCCAAAAAGTTGTCAGATGTGTGGTAGTTGTTCAGATGTACTAATATTAAAAGGTCTCTCCTCAGGCAATACTTCTTTACCGTGCGATAATATACGGATAATGTAATTTTTATTCAGTCAATGGTTATCTTTTTATGTGGGATTGAGTTGCAGTTCTTTAGTCTTAAGCACCAGTAAAATTGACATTAGCTTACACTTGCACTCATCTTCAGAGGTGAATAATTAGGATTTTTACAGCAGTTATGTGAGTGTTTATATCATTATTATTCCCTTGGGGTCTGAGTGGAACATAGGGCTTCAATAACACATCTCCACTTTGTTTTACTTTCTGCCTTCCTCGTAAGCTGGGTTCGTGATTAACCATAATCTCTCATCTCCTCCCCAACACACTATCTCCTACATGTCACCCTCGCCCTGACGACCCACTCGTCACTCCCCGTTGGGATTCCACTCGAGGAATGACCTGCATTGTGCGTGATTTCATTCGACGGCCTCCTCAGTGGCGTATGGCCAATCAGTCCATCTCCGTTTTCTCCTACATATTTGTTCAGCGATCGGCTCTTGCTTTGTTTGTTGGTTCATTGCCAGAGTTTCTTGTTGATAATTCTTTGTGGTCAGTTGGCCAGCCGGCCATTTGATCTTCAGTATGGAGTCAGAGAAGGGGCAACTGTTGATAAAAGTCTGTAACTGGCTGTTGGAAATGCTTTTCATGACTCACGCGCAGTGCAATTCTCTGACCCGTATAGAAGAGCTGCTTGAGATACTGACTTCACATTTGTGTTGAATAGAATCTGAATCTTGTTGTTTATGCTGGTTGGTTGAGTGAAGCAGAAGATTTTCAAACTGGTTTCAGGTTGATGAAGGCGTATCTTGCCTTTCCGATTCTGGCTGGCTGGCTGGCTTTGACATCTTCATCCGTTCCACCTCTAGTTGAAACGATGCTTCCTAGATAAGTAAAGTCAGGAAGTAACCTCTGTTAAATCTCTCCTGTTGATGGTGACTGGTACTGGTTGTTGTTGCTGTTGGTTGGTTATCTTCATCACCCCGTCTTCTCTATGTTCACATGGAGTCAGTTCTGTCTCCTCTGCACTGCTTCTTCAGCCAGTTTGTTGGTTTTCACATGCAAGTCTTCGAGTTTGTGTGATATTAGATATAGATATCATCCACACGCGAAATCTAGATCTTCTAGAGTCTTCTTATCTGTGGTCCAACATATTTGTGTCTTCTCACTCCCTGTGTTACAGTCTGACTGACGCATAATCAAGTCAGTCCACCACAATTAAGAATATGATCGGTGATAATAGGCAGGCAACTCTGTCTTACTCCTGTGTGCACTTCGAACGCCTCACTGAGTTTTCGGTTGTAGACATTTGACATTTTCATATAGCTATGTGAGTATTAAGGGCATTGTTATCAGGAATTTTGTTCTCTTGGCAGAACAGTGTGCGGCGATTTGACTTTTCGCCTCAAAGTGGCAAAATCATTTCATTGTCCTGATCTCCACCGGCGTTTAAGACAAGTTGAAGATAGTTTCTCAGTAAATGATACCGGTTTTTGAACACTCATGTCAATTGCTTGAATATTTTTCACTAATGAAGTCCTGGTGAATTCCGTACAGGTTTTGGCTGACAGAGGTGAATTCGTCAGTCTATAAAATGTTGGTTGGTGGGGATTTCTGCTATTAGCATATCGTGCGTTATCACTGTAAGTCTTCAAATAATCATGCGTCTTAGCCACGAGGCATCAGCAGGTGTGTTTAAATAGAAATTACTGATGACTGTTTCCTAGCTTTGTTTCTCATCGTTTTTGGGAGGGGTAGTAGCACATAGTTATTCAGTACTGGGCTAGGAACCACACTTATGGCTTGAGGACTGGTGATATTACCCAGTGTCCAAGATTGAAGCAGAGCGAAGTACAAACCCTGAATTTATTGGTTGAACGTAGTCGAGTGCTTAAGCCAGTGGTTCAAATCAGAAAGCAATGCAAGCCGAAGAGTGCACCATTATTTTCACTTAGTGAAAGTGCTTGCTTTTTGTTGTTTCCCTTAAGGCATCTGTTTATTTATTCTTTTTGTCTTGTTATACTATTTTTGTGACGCACCACTTGATTCTTCATACTTTACCAAGTATACACTTAAAATATTGTGTAAATAACGTGTATTCATCTTATCTTTTCGATTTTCAGTAACTCTTATTACTCTTACGAGGTACTCATTTGCTTTTAATCCATCTATACTTTTACTCAGTTAAAGATTGCTAATGTGGATCTTCCCATCGGGATCATTGTTGAGGCAGCCACGGTTGATAAAAATACACCAGATATGCTGTTTCTAGGATGCGTTGGTGGTACAGCGGTTAGGACGCTCACCGACCATGCACATGGTCCGGGGATCTGTCCGCGGCCGATGCAGCCTGCTAAATTTGGGCTACCGATGTCATATAGTGAGAATTCCATACTTGTACCAAAATACTGTGTGGAATCAAGCTATAATAAAATAAAATAAATATGGTATTCTGCGTTCATCGTTCGGTGTTGAATCTTACTTTAAACCTTAAACTCCTGAGTGAAAACCTGATTATTTTAAGTGGTACTGTTAAGGTTAAGTACAGAAGTGTGTTGTGGTTCAGTTGTTCTGTGAGTTGTAGTTTTAATCCATAAACATTTCATTGCCACGCTGGACATCTTTATTAGTGCTTAAATTTTCCCCACACAGAAGTGTAATTGTTGCATTTCTAAAGATTTTTGAACACGAGGTAAAGCCAAGCTACTCAAACAGTAGTAGGTCTAACCGATTTGCATACACCAATCTGTCGGTGTTCAGGCAGAGGTGATGAAAAAAAGCTATTTGTCCAGTCGAGTAATGCGGCTGTCACTCTGTAGCCTAAGGCGATACCAACAACATCTAAGTCGAAAGTTGATGCCATGAAATGAGCACACACGAAGCAGAAGTTATAAGCTTACTGATGGGACTGTGCAAAGCACTCCATATGTCAACCAGCATACATCTGTAGCGAGACTATCCATGGGTTGTTTCATTGTTTAAACGAGGTTGAACGGGACATGGTGTCAAATAGTCCTGTTAAGAGGGAAAGTTTATGGAGGCAGCAATTTGAACTGAACTAGACGGGTTGTCTTAAAGGACTGCTGCCCCAGCCTTTGCCTTGAGGTCTTACTTACAAAGCAGCAAATCATGTAAGCAGGTGCTTCACCATGGGTGTCGGTCACAAAACTACATGACTCATTCCTTTCTGACTCTGAAGTCTATGTGCACCACTTATTTCGAATCGAAGTTTTCCAGGGTCACTATGTGAGCAGTCCATTTCTACCAGTCCGTTGGTGAACAGCAAACATTTTCATTTTTAAGGAAACTACCAGAGGAAGGCACCGAATTGGTAGTACCTGACAGTAGCTGTGATCTCATGGTCACATTTTGAGGGGAAAGCTACACTCTACCCAGCCTTGGCCATACTAAGTCGTTTATGAGGGGATTGTTATGTTTGTTTGCCGCATTTCTACCTATGAGGTGGAGTTGTCGCTATGCATGTTTATGAGTTTATAACTCCATAAGTCTAGTATTGATTCATTACTTTTCATATTCCCACTGAAATTTCAAGTTCAGTTTTCCTTTCCGCTTTTTGACATGAAATTGTGCTTGTTTAGAATACTGATGTTTGACGAGACAATTTAATCATATCTTTATTTTTTCCCGTGTACTTCTTACAATACGAATGCATAAAATAGTATACTATATTGAGAAGTATGTAGGAATCCCTGTTTAGTTGAGCGGTATGGCTAAATCTGACAGCATCTGCACTAAGCCTCAGTTTAGAAGTCTAATCTTAAGCCAGTGGAGTTGTGGTTCAAAGCCTGCTCTATGCAAATTGATGAAGGCAACCAGATAGTATCAGAGATCCTCATATTAGGTGTGGTTCAACTGTCGCATACATTATCAACATGCCACTCAGTGTTTTTTGTGAATTCACCAACTCACCAAATTCATAAATTGATCTGCGTCACTGAGGTTGATTCTGAGTGATTTACACGTCTCACGTTAGTAGTTTGCGACCACATATCTTGATACCTTGTGCTGGTAGAGGTAATCTGAGTAGGCATACGTAACACATGTTTGATTCACCTTAGTGAATGAAGTTTTATAAATTCGCCAACTGATTCATATGATTTGCCAAAAAAAACTACTCACTCTTACGTTTTCTCATGCGGTAGTTTTACTAAACATCAGAAATGTCAAGGTGACAGTGGACAAATACTTGAGTCATTCACACATCTTCCATCTTTAATGAGCTTATTTCGTAGCCATACAACAGGACAAAACACACTGTTACGCTGTACACTTGACTCATCGGTCGGTCGGTTTTCGACATAGGACTTTGCACATATGTGCGGCAGTTCAAGTCGCCACACTCCATGTAGCACACTTGACTCATAGGAAGGAATCACATATATCTCTTTGATGTAGTGAAAATAGAGTTAAGCCTTTTGTATTCATTTCGCTGTATCTTTCACCATCACTCCGTTAGAGCTGAAAGAAAGAAATGCACCTCATAGACTGTTCAGTTTTCACTTTATGTTCGGACTGCATCTTTGTATAGCATAACTTTTGATTTCTACACTCTACGTCAACCAAGAGATCTTGGAGGCTTGCTGATTGGAAATACAGAAAGAGTTTGGGAAGTATAGCATTTATGTTGTAAAGTTGGGGAAAGATGAAGACATCTTTGACTGACACCACTTTATATAAACTTCTCATAGGATAATTTTTTCTGCGCTCTAACGCCACCAAGTGTCTAAGTATACCTAATAATTAAGCCCCATCTAGTCATACCTCTTAATTATAGCTCATCAGATCAAAGTAGTCTACTTCGCCTAAAGAGTGCTCACAGTTGTTCGGGGCTCCGTCAACACTACATTCCTGCATCAGCATTTCATTCAAGTTGTGACTAAAGAGTGAGTAGAAGCTTGTTCAACCGTTCCTGATAGGGTTGAAGTTATCGTCTCAAAGTGAAATATTTGTGAAATACTTATCTATTCTGTAGTCAGTCTCGCTAACTTAGCTGTTTTAGGACTCATTTTTTGAGCAGCTTCAGTTTTTTCAGACGTTGCTTTACCATACACGATTTCTCTAGTTCATGAAGTGTCATTTTACAATTAAGTTCACATAAATAACTATGATCCTGTTATTAGTTCCTAACTTGTTCCTCAGATAATTAATATTAGAGGGGAAACCCTGTAAGTTTTGGTTTGGGGACCCAAAGTCAATCTTTATCATATTCGGTATAACTCAGTGCAACGTTAAAGATTTGAAAAATATATTTTAGGTTATGATATTGAGAATTTCATCATATAATACATAGTTTATTCCCTAAGACTTGTTTTTAATTTGATTTTCCAACTTCCTAGGCAAGTGTATGTTCGTACTCTGGAGCTCAACGTTTTGTAGATCCCTACACTCGTCCATATCTTCCATACCCACCTGGTCCAAATTATCCATACTATCCTCAGTCACAATCGATGATGCAGAGGTCCCGCGTACCCCAACCTTCTGGCCTAGAGTATGCAAATATAAACACTTGCAATCAACCAAGACCACCATCTCAACCTACTCCTGGAGGAGGTACTCCAAATCAAGTTGAGCGCCCACCATCAAGGAATATCAATTATCTCAACAGTCCAACCCATGCGGCATTCTCAAATACACAAATTTCCTCACCAGCACATAGTAGTGGATCTCAACCATCGTCTTGGTCACCGCATTCTGCCTCATATGGTTCTTCAGCGCACATGCAGTCTCAACCAAGACCTCGTAGTTTATCAAAAGATTATCAGGTGAAAATGAACGAAGTCCAATCTGAATCTCCTAACGCTAATAACAGTAATACTAATAGTGCTACCAGACTAGATAACCAGAGTGAAGGTACACCTAGTAATTTTGAAGATACAAGCTGTCGTCCTCAGTCGAGATTAAGCGATGTAAGTTGTTTGTTTTTTCTTGTTTACAACATCTGATTGTGTTTGAAGTAGTATGTCACAGTTTTTTGCGTCAACAGTTTTGATTCATGATGTTATTCGTTCATTCAGTTGTCAGATGACTGCATTCATACGTTATAATAAGTTGTGAATCACTGGACTAGGGGTTAAGTTTTCTATAGTACCTCATGGGTTCTAGCCCCTACTGGAATTTGGACAGCATCCTGAGAAAGTGTATGGGTGGTTGCCGATTGTATGGAAGTCAACTTTTTATTGGAGTACTTAAAAGGGGAAATTTTTTAATGTTATGTGACCATGGAGCCTAGAGAACGACACCTTGTGGTCAGGCACACACGACCTGTTTGAAGTGATTTAAGAAGGCATGTCTGTACAAAGCTTTTACTGCCGTCTGCGGACCACCGAAGGATAAGCTTGGTTATGCAATTATGGGGCTGACGTTTTCTTACCCCTCTCTACGACTGGTTGGTCGTTTGAAGGACACACCTGACTTCTCTCATATCCCTCTCCATACCTCTATACTAATCACCTCGTCCCCACGACAGTTATCCGTTAGGTTACTACTAAATTAGAGTAAATACTTTTTTAGGACGAAAATGAGCTAATATTTGAGTTATTATTATTCACTGCCGTTCATTTCACGTCACTAATAAGTTCTGATCTTCTTCAAGTGAAAACACTTAACTCTGATAGATTAAGTAACGTGAAGTGAAATGGCGTATTTTGTATTTTAAAGGTGAACAATACGTATAGAATTCTTGCTAATATACATTTTTCCGTTTATATAGATATATGGATGTAATATATGTCCATTAAAATGGCTTACTGGTTATTTCCTTTTAAGTACTACCTCATCATCTGTTCAGTAATCGATTTATAAAGTCTCGAGGCATATTTATTCTTTGTAAAGATGAGAAGCAGTTCGATCTCACATTTAATGTGTTTGTTCTTACACACAGCATCAATCTAATGCTTGCTTGCATAAATATCGCATCCATTGTTAATGTCAGTAAAAAGTTTGAGCATTATGGAATAGATCAAATAAAGTATAATTATATTTCAATGGTTTACACACAATACAGGCAGTAATTTTGCTCGAAATATTACCAATAACAAAACTTACCATTGTGTGTAAACCATTGAAATATAATTATACTTTATTTGCATCCATTGTTGTTTTGCTTTAAATTGTGTTGTAAAGAGTCGCTTTTATCATTATCATCATCATCACCATTACATCAATTCTCTGCTTGCTTCAAATTTGAAGCCATTATTTTGTTTTTACGTCTTGGCGCATGCATCCGACATAAACACCTACTGGTTATACTATCGACGATCAATAAATAAGCTTCTATTGCTTAAGCCTGTATAGAAATGATAGACCTATTTTTTTACATTATCTCTCTGTTTTTATGTGTTTGTGTCTGTCTCTCTTTCCTGTTTGGCCTTTGTTTCCCCACAATGGCCTTGAACATTTCGTTCTCTAATTGGTAGACTGCAAATGACAACAAACTGACCTTCTTTATCCTTAGCTAAGCTAAAATGTGCTTTATCTAGCTATACGTTATGATCCCTTTTTGCGTTTTCATTCTTGCGCACGTGTAAAAACGATAAAGAAGGGTTTTAACGACGTAGAATACTACTACTACTAGCCTCTTCCTTCTCTCCATATTTAATGTGTATACATGCGCGAGAAATTCCTGGTTGAATTTAAGTCATCTTGATTTTAATATTGTCGCTACAATTTTGGATTTCTAATTTCGTTGAAGGAGGAACTTTTCTACCGGCGTTCATGTCAGATAAATACATCCGAATCTACGTTCCGTTTAGGTTTCTCAACTCCCCCAAAAACTAAAGTAGAAGATCAGACTTTGTTTTGTTACAGTTTCCCATTGGAAGTATGATTTTTCCTGAAGACATGCAAACTCACCTTGTCCGAGGTCTGAGGTTGTCTCAGTGAGTGTTGAACATGTTGAGAAACTTCATACTTATCTGGGAAGTAAAGATGCCTTTATGGTTTGATGACTGATGAATTCTGACACAAACAGTAAGGTCTGAATTGGCTTTTTACAGGATACGCTAGCTGCACCACCAAGTATACACATATCCATATGTTGCCGTGCAATAATTTGCTTTATCCTACCCGCATGACTGACAAACATCGTTTCCCGGTTCTTGTACTGTAACTATGTTTCCACTCGAAGATATGTGACAGAAGTGGTAAGAAAAAGATGATGATCTGCATAGGCCAGATGTCATTATTCACATAGTGTTTTGATGTCACTCGCTTATGGTGAATTCAAGTTGTTAATGGTACAGAGATTAAGTCTAAGGTTTTAGGTGTGAAATGCAGATGTATTAGTAAATTGTCTACCTGTCACTGTCTGAGATTTGTTATTCACTTCAACCTGTTTGTTGGTTGATGTTACTTGATCTGAAGTGGTTAGCGGTGAAACCTAGGATGTGTACTTCCTCCTGTTTGGGACTCGTCAGCTGAATGTAGTTGCATTCTTCGTTAATTTTTTTGGGTTATTCAAATTAACATTGTTTGGATTTCATGAGAGCTGTAGAATATAATGTGTGTGTTGTTACCAACATATTTTTCATTCCGAGAGGTAACCTTTTTTGTTACTTTGTTTCCATTGTCAGTGAAAATGTTTTAGCCTTTCTAACCTTAATACTCATATTTAAATACGCGAGGTATAATCCTAGTAGTTAGTATTTACCTCTGTCTCGTCACACTGTATTAAACTCAGTAATCTCAATACTATAGAAGATTGTCAACATTCTCAAACTTGTAGCCAATATAAAGGTTAATTTACATACTGTGGTGTCAGGCACACAAGTGAGTATAAATTCATATTCTTTTCCAATCCCTCAGTGTTTTTTAGCTGTTATACTTCAGTCATTCTTGCCTTTATTGATTTCACTTCTCTCTTACTAGATCCGACTAGGGTCACTATTATGTCTTACTTTATTACTGTGGAGATCCATGTAAGTGGTGACACGAGTGCAGATTCTTTCAGTCTTAAGCAATATTGAGGTTAGACTTCGAGTGCTAGGTGAGTTGAAGGGGAAATCAATCGACGAGGTTGTGAAGCTACATCAATAGAGATGGTTAGGACATGTGTTACGCATGCCTAGCCATCGCCTTCCTCGACAGGCATTGTTAGCTGACATAGGGTCAGGTTGGAAAAGAGCCGGTGGTGGTCAAACCAAAACATGGCATCAGTCAGTGAAATAAATCTACAACAGTTAGTCTAAGCCACGTAGGAAGGTGTAAACTTCTTCGTTGGGATCTTCATGACGGTAAGCACCAATGGTTGGAGACAATTGGTGATATGGCTCAAAATCGTCCTCAATGGCGCAAATGCATCCACTCTTTGTGACTTATAATACCCAATAAAACTATATCGTTGTTCGATATTACTATTCTTTTTGCCCTATATTCTGCGTTTATCATCTCTGTTTTGAAACTCTCTTTACTTTCTTCTCTTGCTTTGCGTGCTGAGTGAAGTGTGGCAACTCGAACTGCTGCACATCGGTGCAAAGTTCTATGTTGAAACCAATCAGTCAGTCAATACTAAAGTTAAATATGGGATATGACACTCAGTAATCGTTCATTGTTTAAGTAAGGGGACGAATTCTTCATGATATAACCATAAGACAGGGATTATATTATCACTTATTGATCACTATTAATGCAGTTACGAAGTTTGTTTCTTTCAATTCGCAAATGTAGAGTTGTATTTATCATCATGATATTTTTGCGTGTCAATGTAGTATTCATGTTGAATACAGTTAGTCAGTTGTACAAGGTTTTCCTATCACTTATTCTTTTGTTTTAAAATAAGTGGGATATAAATAAACCGAGTATAAGTTACTCTGCATGTGTACATGATCACATTAATGATTAGATTAAGCAGTTCCGCTTTTGTATTGAAAAAGACCACCAACGGTCTTCACGACATAATTTTAAGAATAACAGCCGTTATTTTGCGTAAACCGGAGTAACTTTCTGAAAATAATGAATATTTGTTTTTAGTTTACACTAACGCCTTTTTATTAACATTTAAATAGACTGGAACATCTGCTACCAAAGGTGGGACGTTAGGTGTGAAGGACCAATCTGATGTCCAAATTACTACGTCTTTAGTTGAAACTACTGGACAGAATCCTAGTGCTGATGGCATATCACATCACCAAGTGTCTACTCCATCCAGTTCTATAGCCAATTTGTCGTCAGTTAGTCCACTGTCTTCAGTGTCTCATGAAGCATCTTCTGCACAAAATTTTCCATCGTTTGTACAGGCTTCAGCATCATCGTCTTCCCCAATGGCTACACAAATTACGAATATCCAGAGTCAGCCAGCAACATGTGCAAGTCCTGGTGAGTTAAAATTGGATAAATTGAAATGATTTTGGGTGTTCATTTTTGTTGTGAACTATTAAGAATTGAGAATCGACTAATTTCAGACGTTTCTGTTCATTACCGTTTCGTAAATTCCAAAAGACGCAAATTCCTCCACTTTTTTGAAGAGCAATCACAACAGATGTTGGATGACATAGTTTTATGCATATAGACTGGTATTGGGAACATTGATAACTATGGGCAGTCTCAGAAATTGTATCATATCTGATTCCTTTGCTTCAGTTTCTTTAATATTTGAGTCTGTCGTCATAGTCACATATCAAACCGGTATTCATCTCTAACTCTACTCTAACTAACGATCTGACTTTAAACACTGGGGCATTATTTTGATTTCACATCACTAAATCAGAAAAGTCAAAACCGAAATCCAGAGTACTTTAAAAATTTACACCAAGAGCAACTTCTTTCAATCTGATGTACACTCGTGGCGTTCTTATGTCAGTGAAGAATCTCCTTGGTATTCGGAAATCACAACAACTTGAAAAAGTAACATTTTTCGACTTTTGTCTCTACGTGTCAGACACTTTGAAACTGTCCTGTTTAATTGGATACATTTAATTTTGCATTTCTTACAGACAACTTTAACATGTCTCATAGGTAATGAGAGAGAGGGTGTCTTCAGTTAGCATATTTACTTTCAACACTTGTTATCCTGTTCAAAGTACATTTTCGCGACAAGGCCTGTAAATGACTAAACACCGTAGAACGTTTACACATAAGTGTATGAGTCCATATGAAGTGGTCATCACATTCATTTATTTCGCTTTAAAACAGTAATCCACGCTAAATATTCTTCATTTCATATTTGTGCACATCAGAATTATTTTGATTTTCGTTCAAAAATTTCATCTTATCGTCTTTATTTAAAAGAAGTATTTCGTCAATGCACGGTAGATCAACGAAACTATTCCCTGAAATCAGGTCAAATCTTGAAATGCCGTAAACAATAACTCAGCGAATAGTCTTTGCCTGGAAGTCAGCACATAAGGCTAAGGAAGTTGGATTGATCCAAATGTTCTAAAATGTATGTGTGTGGATTGTATATTAGGCGAAAAACATCAGAGATACTAGGAAGTTTAACTGACCATTCACCTAATCAATTTTGATAAATTTTTACTAGATAGGTGCGAAATGTAAGTTACAAAAAATTGACAGTTAATTCCTCTAGTATGAGTTATATTACTTAACTCCACCGATTAAGCTATCCTCGCGTTCATATTTACTAAATTTGTAGCATCGACTTTTGAGATGAGTATCATTTCCACTGAGGTGAAAGCACACTATAAGTGGATGTCATATTATTAAGAGATGGAGATGTGACTCATTGGCTTAAGCACTTGACTTCCAACCAATGGATCCCGGGTTCGAATCCATCTTCACCTACTTTAACCTGAACAACTGAGTAAAACCATCAACTCTTACACACATGCACAATTAGTGTGTAGCTCATAGTCTCGTACTTGAGAGACCTGCTACGGCTAACTGATTTTTAGCATAACGTTAATACGGTGGATCGATGACATATTTATTGAGAGAGAAGAGTTGATAATTTGTTTACAGATATAACAACTTTTTTGTAATTTTATAAACTGGTAAGTCCCTAGTTGTCATTAGGGTGTGACTATTACCATTTGTGTGTTTTTGTAGTTGATTAGACTTATAGAAAATGTTTGATAACCTCTGTTTCATTCATAAAGCAGTAGAATTTTGAAGACTGTGACAGCATACAATTCTGTATGGAAATGTAGAATCAGTATTTTCGTCTACATTAGACACTTTTAGAGAACATTTTGCCACTAACTTCTGCACGATTAAATTCATTATTCTACATTCTCTTGTGCATATCAGTTAAGTTCTAGACATAGTAGTTCAATAAATTGTTAAGCAATTCCTAGTTTCTTTCTAAAAGTTTTACCACTATAACGTAAATATTAAATATGATTTATTATCTAATAAACCAGCAGTTTGGATATGTATATTTAAGCTTTCTGGATACCGGAAAGCCCTAGTTAACTATGAGGTCATCACTGTCAATATTCGTTGCAATGAGGTGTCTGTCGCTTTCCATTTTTTGTCCATTCTCCTCTTGGATTAGTCACTATATTTCTGTATCACTTTATTTTTTTTTCACTTAGGCCAAACTAAAGGACCATACCAGAGCTGCCAGACAGTGCCGTCACCTCGCCCACAAGGCGTATCAAATCAAGAAATGGGTATTCCGCGTATGGGCTATCCATCGTATTCTCATCCACAAGCTCCTCTTCCTAATAATCCATATTCATCAGGTGGTCGTCCACCGGGTTTTCCTTCAGCTGGTTATCCTTTGCGTCCTCCATCTATGCATGCAGCTGTCTCTCTTTCGGATAGTATGCCGTATAGACCACAATTTCAGACTCAGTCCTCTAGTGGACCAGCTAGTACAAGTTCAATGCCACCGCCACCAACACTGCCTCCAGCTTCTGTCTCATCAGGTCAGTCATGTGCTGGTGATAATAATGGACCCTCACAACCACCATTTTCGCAAGTTCTTCCATATTCAACTCCTGTATCTTCTGCAAGCAGTGGTTATGCCACATCAGGTTCTGTTCAAGGTCCTCATCTACCTTGGGATCAAGAAGCTTCATACCAACCAACACCGCCTCATCCCAGCAATATGTTTCATCACCAGTTCGGTGAGCTCTGAATGATTTTGTTCACTTCTATTCTGCTTTAATTTTAGTACATAATAGCACTGTGTGATATGTTAAATTTCTTACTTTCCTATTAGATCAGTTTTCAATTTAATCTGTCCAATTATCGTATTCATTCTTGGTTTGAGTGTTTTAAGTGTTTATATATAGCTGTTAAGTTGAATCTCCATTCCCTACTGTTTTCCCTGACCAGATCAATGGTTTAGCCTCTGGTGAGAGATGTAAATGGGATCTGAGGAATAAATGGACTTCGAAGGAAAAGGCAGGCAAACTTAGTGGGACAAAAGAGTTTTATATTACTATATGCTAAATAGGGCTGCTTTGCATTTCTGTAGTGTTTATTTGTGCAGAATTAGAAATAGGTAATTGCTCAAGATATTACCCGGCATAGATAGTTATTTAACGGTGTATTTTGTTTTGCTTAACTCTGTCGTATCAAGTTTGGCAGTGAAAAAGGAGAAGACAAAGAAATATAAGTAATTAAGTTGTAAGTGATAAATAACAAGACAAAAAAAGTAAAATAAAGTGAAGAATGTAAGGAATATGTAGTATTGCGGTTCGGATGAAGTTGTTATATGAATATATCAAAACTGCTTAGAATAATTCTTATCTCACGTAAGCCAATTGATTAATAAGCCTACATTTCACTTGATCCAGTGTGCTAATAGTAATGGTAGTTAAATTTGTCACCTCTGTTAAGACATGCCATATTTGTGCATAATTCCTCTTTCTTCATTATGCAACCTGTTATGTAAGTAGTGTAAATACCTTGTCACATTTTTGAGATCTACTGTCAACCTTTGTATCATATACCCATTTTAAAGCATATTATGTTCGAACATATCGCAAAGGTAATTCCACGTTGGTAGTGGAAATGACACAAATTGGCAAGTCATGAACATTAGCCTTTCAGTAGTCACAGTCAAAATGAGTATAGTGGCCAACATATTTTACCTATTCATACTCCTTCATCCGTAAACTTGTAATCAGTGCATATCGGTTGGGTCTTACATCGTCTTACAATTGACATTCATTTATTATCTATTTTAATGAGATAAATAATTGTGTTATAGTGTGATCGGTACTATTTTTTGGAATTATTTTAGAAATAAAGCTGGGTTGTTTATAAATTTAAATAACCTGTGTTTATTATATTTACTAGGTGGTCGTCCACCATATATTGGTCCACCAGACCGTGGAAGTGGTTATCTTCCATCTTCATCAGTTCCAAGTTCTAATGCTTCAAACTCAGTACCACATAATGGACAACACTTACATCCCTCAGCTACTGGACCCTATCCTCACAATCAGTCTCTGTCGTCGTATGCAAGTCATCATGCTCAGTATCCATATTCACAATCTCAAATGCCTTACCACTCTCAATCCCAATATACACATCCTTATTCACCAGGACCTGGTGCTCCAGTAATACAGCAGCAGCAACAACATATGGCAGCACCTACTGCTGCTATGGCTTCAACGTACTCTTCACCAATGCTTAATAATGCATCACCTTTACCGCATCATCTACAGAATTCTAGAGATGGATTTCATATGCATTATCCGCATGATATGCAACAACATCCTTCAGGTATTTCTTCTAGTTATATTTCATCTTTTTCTTGTAATTTTCTTCTATTTGTATGAATTTCTTTTTGTGTATAACGTTATATACTTCAGTTTCATGTCCGTTTTGGATGAACTACTGTAGGGCTATAAGGCGTTAGTAAATTTTTTGATCCTTTTATTCAACAGAACTGCCTACTAATTTTAAGCGTAGTATGTGATAATTTGATTACTCTGAAGATATAACAGCTACAGTAATCGAAGATTCTAAGTTCCATGATTCTGCGTGAACGAAACGGTGATCAAGGGAAAAAAAGCCGTGAATACCAAGTGGACTTTAGACCTGAATGGAGGTGTATTAATTCTATCGTCAGTCTTGGACAAAATATGGATCATAAGGATACTTACTGTATTTCTTGATGTGAAGACAGCATTTGATTCTGTTGATGAGAAATACATTGACAATGTCTGACCATGAGTAATGCACTTCAGAGATAGTATATCTCATTAATAAATGTACTCGAATCGGACTCATGCTTTTATGAAGTGTGCAAACTTGGACTACTGCAACTTCTGTGCAAAGTTCTACGTTGAAAATTCAGTTCAATGCTACACTACCCAGTAAATTAATGATTCTCATTTTAGATGAAAACGAATGCAATATTACTTATATTCCTTTACTATAAATCGTAATAAAAAATGAGTCGAAACTATTTACATGAATATATGAATAACCTAAAACTGTTTTGTTTGATGTGTATAATTTTAGTGTCTTCATCGAATGAGAATTTTACACCAACATCATTTCCCCAGAATGGAGGATCACCTGGCAATATTAGACCATCATCAGTCATAAATACTGTTTCGAAACCAGTTGTTGCCGGTGGAAAAATGACAAAAGTGAGTATACATCATATCTTTATTATTATTATTATCGCTAACTGGTTTTTAACCTTTTCAAAAAAATTATTTCTTTGCGTTCTGAGTGAGGAACATAGAGCTTCAAGCTTTGAAATTTCAGTATCAGTTGGTTTTCTTTCTGCGCGGGGGTTGGCGTTTCTAGTTTCACTCCCAGTCTTCGCTTTCTTTTTGCGTTTACTATCAGATAGGCGAGGTTTAGGAGTATATCAGCTGGGAAGCCAACCCAGGGACCTCCCGTGTAACTGGCGGTAAGCATTCTAACAGTGAAGCTTAACCTAATCTTTGTCAATAAAACCTTAGCTGTGTGTTTTAACTATTGCTTGATATAGAACAATTATTCTCAATCATTAATTTTCAAACATTCATATTTGCTTATATTTCACAGTAGAACCATGTAGCTCATTAGTGTCTAGGTGTTAAACTTTTAACTGTCAAACGAACTTACTGTAATCGAATGGTGGCACCACCTAGCTCTGTGTAGTATCATTCATTCTTACTAGTTAGTTCAAAAATCCCGCACGTAGTTCTTAATTCACATATGTAGATCATATTACAACTGAGTCAGTTATGAGCACAAAATGCAAAGATGATATAGAAAACGTTTTCCGAAACAACTGTAAATACTGTTAGATACTACTTCAAAGAAGCAGTACATTGAAATAACTATTCCTCATTTAACTAATTGTTTTCAATCTTAAAGTGGTTATATTATAGAAACGAATAGGTTCTTTTGTATTATTTCTTTTTTTCAAGTTTAATAATTAATAAAAGGTGAAATCGCTGCAAATGTATGGCGGTCGATGATGATTTTAATCATCTTTAGATGACATAGTTTGCTCTTCAACTTTCCAAGAACACAGCATATTACATCATTGATCTTCAGAGTTCTTTGACTTCATTCATGTTTATGACTCAAACGTCTACTATCTTGTGTTACTTACGAAAAACATTCTAATTAACGCAGCAGTTTTTGTTGCATGAAAAGTAACCATATTTCATTAACGACGTTCTATCACCACTGATTTAAAAGGAGATTTTCTCCTGCCTACTTATTTATGTCTATAGTAGCTCAACTCTTTAGAAATAATTTTATAAAACCAATCATTTAGTATAACTATTTTTTTTATATAGATTCAAATATAATTGCATTATCATATCAATACGATTAAATGTGTTTGTGTGTGTGTGTGTGGTGATGTGGAGCATTGATAGAAACATCAGATACACTTATAGGAATTTATTCTATAGACTTGGAATAGAGTCTTTGGTTTGTGTATACAGTTGATTTGCCTTGAACACAGTCAGAGCATAGGTTGTTAAATATTTCGTTACCAATAACTTACAGAGTATGTTGTTGACTTGAACATATTCGATTAATGGCATTGTTCCAGTCATTGTTGATTAGCTTTTGTTAGGACGAATTTTCTGTTACAATAGCCGTATATCAATTTTACTATGCGTTAAATGAATTACTTTTGATTTTTTGCTTTTTTTCTCTCTAATTTTTATCCAAAGTCTGAGTTACTAACTCGTCCGGTTAATTCTACGATTTCGGCATCTTCACAAATTAGTGCCAACCAAACTGGTCTAGGGCCAACTGAAGTGAACTCTATGAATTTTCCACAACAGTATCAGCATCGTGTACCAGCTCAGTCTAGTCATCCACAAATGCTGCAACAATACCCAGGAAACTATTCTTCGGGAATAGGATCTCATCGATTTGGAGCTCCTAGTGGTGGTGGAGAAATTTTACAAGGTTCATCTACTTTCCAAAGCTTCCAACAACAGTATCACTCCATACCTAACTCCCATGTACCACCACAAACTCAAAATACTTCTGGTCCCATTGGTAATCAGAGTTCGTTATATTCTAGTGATGAAACACATTCAGATGTCGGAAACCTTAATCAACCTTTGAATAATTTATCAAGTCAGAGTCTTACTGGTTTCCATAAATTGTTGGAGATGGGAAATGAACCTGAACGGCGACCATGGTTGGAGAACTACATGCGTTTTATGGATGATATTGGGAAGCCGGTTGTTGGTATCCCTCAAGTAGTCAAACAGCCTCTTGATCTTTATCGGTTCTACGTGGCTGTAAGAGAACGTGGTGGTGTGGCAGAAGTAATAAAAGCTAGAAGGTGGAAAGAAGTAAGTCAGGCGATTGGCATCAATGCATCTGCCTCAGCAGCTTATGGTTTACGCAAAAACTATTGTAAGTTTTTACTGGAGTACGAATGTCGCTTTGATCGTGATGGATCTGATCCTCGGCCTTTACTTGCGCACATAGAAAATCTGTCTGGCAAAAAGAGGAAGTGTTCTTCAGTTGACAGTGACCCAAACAGTTTGTCTAATGACTTACCCCCTCCTGCTCCACCTTCACCAACTGGAAGTCATTCTTCTGCATCATCCAGTCTTTTACCTCCGGGTAGCAGTGGAGCTTCATTATCCGGTGGTCCCAGTGGGACTGCTGGAAGCGCCGCAAGTGACAGTCAGCTTGGACCTCCTTCATCCCAGCAACATCGTTTCAGCGACCATGGTCAACCAGGTAGTGTTTCTACCGTTCCAGAAAGTCCTAATGGTATTCCGAATGTCCCTAGCCCACCTGGGCTATCAGGACAAAGTAGTAATTCCTACTTACCATCTTCAGGCCCTGCGACTATGAATGTCCCTTCACCCCAACGTCCTCTTTCATGCACTGCTACTAATGGTTATTCAAACGTACCCATTTCTGCTTCCGATAGCAACTGCTGTCCATGGCCTTGGACCCCTGAAAATAGTAACTCTGAATCAGGTACTCACCAAACCCCGGCAGCATCGGAATCATCAACAATGGAGCACAGTGGTATCCTGGTTACTAGAGAAGCTACCTCATCTCAATACGCACAAAGTATGTACTGAAATTTTTTGCATTAAATGTTTTTTGAATTATGTCAGTTAATTAAATTAGCAAAGTAACAATAAATCTTCAAATAATTCTCATTTACTCTAGGTATACCTTAAAAATTGAATTTATTGAAATGTGTGGTTTAAGTGAGAATTATTAAAAGGATTAATGTTGGGTCATTGAAGATAACGGTGAATGTTTGTCCAAACATTACATCGCAGTTAATGTCTCATGTCTGCATGATGCAGCTACATTCTGAAATTGTTTTCCTATCTTGAGCTAGTGTGTACTATTTCTCATTGTTTTTATGGTTTACGTAGTTATTATACATATTCTATAAATGAATTCCCTCACACAAAGTGTGGACGGATAGTACGCTTTAATGTGTGACCTAGTGACAAGAATTTGCAATGCTAATAATGTTTTCACTTTTTTTGTTTTTATCACTGTCTCTCATTTCGTACTTATCACGTTTTATTTCTAAGAAGCCGTAAACTCACATCTTATCTGGTGTATATTTTGTTTAAAAAGCTTTTGATGTGTCGAATGATTAATTTTTCACAATTTTGTCCACAGGTCGTATTCCGTCTGGAAGTATCTCATTGAACAGTAATGTTCTCCCTTCTAATGTGTATGCTGGTGGACCCAATCCTAACTGCGCGTCTTCAGCTCCCTCGGGAAATACGGAACCTATGGCGCAACATAATTTTAACCCATATTTACCTCAAAATCCTCTATTTGTTTCTAATCCTTCTCATCCTGTACTTAGTCAACACCATGGTCCTCCACAAATTATGGATCATCCATTCGCAGGATCTCAATCTCCCATACATCCACGTCATCCAAGTAACCATTCATTCCGTACACCGTCTTTCAACACTGCTACTCCACCCAATGCTGTTAGTAGTGACTCAGTTGCTATGTTTCGTATGCACCAGTTAAGATCAGGAGCACCTCCGATGACTCCTTATATGCCCGTCGGTGCTGTAACTCCTTACTCTGCTCACAATAATAACAATAACAACAGTAGTAATTTAAGTCAGAATTCACCCTTACCGCCCCATCTGATTCAACATAACAATCAGGTAAGTGGGCCCAACCTTTCAGTCAAAAGTCTGATTGATTGATTAAGTTTTACTTGATGTAATATTTTATATTTTAAAAAAATCATTTAAATGACTTTCGTGTTCACTTGTAATAATAAGCATCAGTTCGACTTTTTGTTGTTATCCACATAAACATATTTCGACCATGAGGAAAATATTGTCTGTTTGCTCTGTGTAGATCTAAGATTATTCACTGTGTTATTCATTTAAGGTAAACACTTCAGTGATGCTATTTGATATTTGGACACTCAACACTAGTGAACCTTAAAATCAAGACATACATATGTGTATGTATCCATCAAACCCTCTGCTTATTGTGTATAATGGAAATACACTGACCAATAGTTTAAACTTGGTTACGTACTACCCAGTTGTGAACCGCATTTATCTTGTGATGGCTGACTATACTGATTATCCCCCCCCAGCTAAAGTAAACTAAACGAAATTTGAACTCATTGACTGACTCGAAGTCGAATGCATCACCTGATTGAACCAAATAGTTGAAGCCAGTGTTGAGATTTTGGAGAAGCGATTAACCAACTGTAACAATTCAAAATTTAGACAAAAAAAAAGATTTACAACTAGGTGTACTTCTCAATATGATGTGAACTTTTTTCATCGATTACATAAAGATTACTAATTGCCAGTGTGTATTTTAATTTACATGGTGACTTTTAAAATAAATTGTGTATGGTGAAGTTAAATTGTGAAATAAATTAACTTCTTCACATTATTTGTTTATCTGTTATTAGAATCTATTTATGAGTAATCAGTTGTAGTTATCCTAATAGGTTCCGTGTCAACTGGGGGGTTTTAATAATGATTCACCTCTTCAATTATGAAGTTTAAGGTTAGGTTATAATTCACAGGCTGTTTTTTATATGGAGCGAAATGTGCATCCGAGACTGAATTCAACTGCACCATAATCGCCAAAAATTGGGGAGAAAAAGAATGACTTAAAAATGAATAGTAGCTATTATATGTACAACCCTAAAGATGAGAGTGAGTGCTTCTCCACTACTGATTGAAATTCGGATGTAAAAGATATACTATTGAGTAGAATCAGTTATCAATAAATGACTCTAAAGTAGTTCTTATTCTCCATGGACATCAGCTAAAAAATATTTAAGAGTTAAGGAACACTCAATAGCTGCTTTGTCATAGTTTTGTACTTAACCAGTCGTTAACTACAACCTCATGTTATATAGAACTTAGCGTCAGTAGATCATGTGGTATGGGAGTGTAACATTGAAAGTTTGCAAAGCATCGATCATTGAATTCTATTTAACGCCGGCTTACGTAAAACTGATGTTTACTTTAGTTAAGTAGATTGAGTCATTACTTCACTTTTTCATATGTAAACTTTACAATATCTATCTTTTGTTCCAGCGACCAGGATATGTTGCTACTATTCTCAAACGTTTGGATCATTATACTTTCCCACCTGGTAGTGTTGAAGCTACACCTATCGATTCACCTCGTCGCCGACGTTATCGAGCAAAGGATTTAGGTAGGTGAAATTTGACTCATTCACGGCTGTTTAAGGACATTCATACTCTTACATATCTTGTAATTACTTAACTTTGCTTTTGAAACAGGGGTGCTAAAAATTCTCTCGATTATCTACTTGTTCCTTTCTATAAAAAGCCTGTGTTTTGTTTGTATTCTAAGGCAACTATTCCTAAATTCTTCTAGAAATAGCGCATCAGACCTATCTGTTCTACTTTATTTAAAGGATGTTTGCTTTTTTTCGCAAGTTGGGGGGAGGAGTGTCCTTGCTAACGTTTCATTTCTGTGTCAATGTTCCATTCAGGCTGTGACTGATGTGTGTGTGGTGCTCCAGTTCTACCTGAGGTGTTTTCTTGCATAGAACCATCTAGGAGACGGTTTCTGAAAGATAATTCAAAAAAGAAGACGTTCAGCGAAGAGACTCTTTTCGGCGAATTCATTCACATAGCTGTACAATCGCATTTATATATAATTGTGTGTGTGTGTGCATGAGTTTTGTCAAGTTTTGATGATTAATCAGGTAATACAAGAATGATTTAATATAGAAAGAAGTTTAATTAGACAGCAACTAAAGTAAGATTGAGTTAGTAAGTTAGATGACGTAATATAATTGACTAAAATGTTTTAATCTAGGTCAGGATAGCAACAGAGGTAATTACCTGATTAATCATCAAAACTTGACACACACAACACACAAATAATTATACATAAATGCGATTGTACAGCTGTGTGAATGAATTCGCCGAAAAGAGTTTCTTCGCTGAACGTCTTCGCTTTTCATATGACTCAATGGGGATTTTTAATTCAAAAGAGTAGCCCTGTCCAACGACTCTAAGGTGGCCACAATGTGAAATGATGATAGTTTGACTGTAATATGTGGGATAGTGTTGTAACACTTGGTGGTTGTAGGTGAACACAGCTGATGCAGCCACTGCCTAAATGGAAACTCTGGCTGATTTTATTGAATTAGTTTATAAGGCTGCAAAGCATGGCAGTAGCCGGTATTTTTGACCTCACCACAAATAAATTAATAAGCCTCATGATTTTCATATTTTTACGTAGGTGCTTTTTATAGATGGGCTCAGTGAAATGGCCTTGTCACACATTGATGTGGCACTCAACTTTTCATGCTTTTTTATGACCTAACCAGTTCTCTTACTAGTTTGTCAACTTTCTTCTTGAAAAAAAACTGGGGAGGATCTATTCAGATTGCTTCTTAAAATGTTCGTTCTACATCTCCGATTCATTGGGTTAATCGATGTTCATCACTAGTATTGGAGCACTGTTCTTTAGAATAGAGAATACTGTCATTGTATGCTAGCTAAATTGTTTTCTGAAGCTGTCTTCCCAACGTTGAAGAAACTATCTGCTTTAGAGGTTGTTTGGCTGAGAGGAGAGTTTTTTTTCCAGTGGCTTGGATAGACTTAGTCAGTTTCAGCACACGTGGTGACATCACCTAAACAACTTCCGGAACTATATGACTGATATATGTTGAGTACTTCTATGCTCTATTTCTACATATTGCGATATAAATATTTTCTGAGTTTCCAAAGGAAACTATGGTGAATTTTCATCTGCGGCTGTTTAATTTACAAATGACGAGTTTAACTATGCTCTTATTCTGTTTTTTCTTCATATTCAGGTCCCATCCCTCCTTTCAAACTGTTGATGGCGCTCCGGTCAGGTCTGACAGCTGAAGTGTCTTGGGCATTAAATTGTTTGAATATTTTACTGAGGGATGAGAATGGATTCGATCTTATCGTTCCGAGTGCACTGCCAGGATTACTCACTAGTTTAGTTGATATATGGCGACATACATTGGGTGAATTATTCAATCACGATCTGTTTATCACATCATTAGAACTACCCACAGATTTATCCATCATATCCACATCACAAAATCATACAAAACATAGTTCAGTATTGAAAAGTGTTCATAACAACTATTCATGTAATTTAAAAACAAGTTTATCATATTTGGATGTAAAAAGTAAGTCTTCCCTTCATGACAACACATGTGGCGGTAGTGGTAATGGTTTAATTCGTTTGGAACGTGAAATCAGTCGGATCGCAGCCATCAAATGTGTATCATTATCTTCTGTGCGTAATGGTTTACGTAATCTATTGGGTAAACGCAATGACTCCAGGTCGCTTCAAACTCCTGTACGTTTCCGTAGCGGTTTAATGTTTCGTCTTGAGAATTTATCTCCAATGTCTACCACAGCTGTCAATCATTCGCCTATTATGTCGTGTAGTTCATCCAACAAGCTAATGGATACAAATACACATTCTGTTACACCTGTAACTTCTCGTTCAAGGAAACGTGGTAAACAAATGCTATTCTCATCATCGACAACATCAAATAATTATATGTCAGGATCTACTGGTGAACAACTTCATGCAAGTATTATGCCCTCTAATATAAACTTTTCAAATGTTGGAACTGGTGGTAAAGCTGATGGGATAGTAATGTGGTCAACACCGCAAGTTGCATCGATTATGGATAGTCTACGTGCACCAGAAGCTTATTCAAATTTAAAAGATTTAGCCTTGTATGTTATTGATGCTTTACATGATGAATCACACAGTAATCATTCATCTGAAATTACTGATAGCAGTTTCTCAACTACTCAAGAAAATAATAATAATAATAAGCCTAGTGTAACAAAGCCTAGCAGTTGTACATTACGAAAATTAATCGAAAAAGGTGGAGGTGATACAACATGTCATATAATGCCACCATTTGGTGCACATGCATTTCAAAGTTCTCATTGGATGAATGATCAAGAAAATATATTGTCTAATGTTGATGATGATCGCTTACCTAAATTAACAGAACCGCCACCACCACCACCAACAACAACAACAGTTGGTATTACATTAAAACAGTCAGTTTTAATTAATGATTTAAATGATGAATTGATTAAAATTGGTGAATTAGATGATGATCAACCTCATTCTAAACGTATGCGTCATGCATCCTCTTCATCTCTTCCCTGTCCTACACTATCTCCTCAACCAACATGTGACACTGTTTCTGAAGACATTCCTTGTAAATTGATCGAGTCACATGATACAAATTCTATCACTGAAATTAATTCTTGTGAAGATAATGATGATTTAGTATTTTCTCAATTGATAGATGAAAATGGTCGTTGTCCACTACGTGCCCGTGAAGAATTAGTTCATCATGGTGCTATTTGCTTATGGCCGGATCACAATGAAGCTGACAGTTATGAGGCACGTGCTGTTCGATGTCTATGCGTTTCTACTGTTCTACGTAATCTTTCGTTTATTAATACAGTTGAACGTCATTTAAGTAATCAGAAAGGAGTATTGGCTTTAATTGGTCGTTTAATGTTATTTGGACATGAACATGTTGAAGAAAATGATACATGGTATGCAGTAGAACAGAAAACTCATAATTTAGAGTCTAGTTTTTGTGCATGGTGGACACCTACATGGTTGGAAGATATGCGGGAAAATGCTATGGTATTATTAGTGAATGTAGCTGGTTATTTAGAATTAATTCATTTTGATGAGTCAATTGTTCGTCCGATTTTAGAAGGCCTTTTGCATTGGATTACATGTACGACGTCTGCTTCAGTTGATCCTTTTCCAGGTCATCGAACTCTCAGTCCTCGTCGTTTAGCTCTAGAAGCTTTAAATCGTCTCTGTGTTCATGAAACAAATGTTGATCTACTCTTATCAACCCCTTCAGATGAAAAAGTGCTTAGCAGTCTGTTTGACAGACTAGCTACTTGGCTTGCTGTACCCGAAGATCAAGTGACACGTGAATTAGCTTTATCTACAATGCATTATCTTGCTGGTGGAGGTGCTTCGATTTCTGCTTCTTCTGTGTCTTCCAGTATCAAGAGTACCAGTGAAACGAATACACCCACAAATACATATATTGGTACAACTATGCTTGCTGGTGCTAAACCTTGTCCTGTTTCTGGATTACTCGCTTTTATTGAAGCTGCTGAAGCAACTACACGACGAGTTATTGATCAATATGGTGTTCAGGCTTTACAAGAAAGACCAGAATTGATGGGGACAAGTTTAGAAATGGTTCGTCGAGCGGGTGCTCTACTTGACAGATTAGCTGTTGATTCTAAAGGTCGTACCTCCTTCACACCTGACTTAGAACTTAGACTAATGGATTTGGTAACTTCTCGTGTTCTAGATGCAACTGTTGCCCATCTCTTATGTGGTGCTCTACATCGTTTGCTTCCAGATAATAGTCAAATAGATGAAGACATAAAATGTCCAACAGTTCCACCTATTCCATCTGCAGCATTTATAGCAGAATTACTAGAGCCAACAATTACTACTACATCGGCGAATGTTTCACAAGAGAGTACACATCAAACTGTAGATAGGGTAGATACATCTTCAAAAGTTATATGCACTGAGAACACTTCAGAAACATCTGGTTCAAACCATGACGAAAAGCAATCAGTAGTTAGTAATTCAGTCAGTAGTGAAGTTACTAATGAAACAGATACAGTTGTAAGTGAAGATGATTCAAAAAAGTCTAATATTGACAAGTCTCCAGACAAAAAAGTCATTGTTAAGTGTATAGATTCTCCTATTGATGATGCTAGTAATAGCAATAATACAGTGATAAGCAACGATTATTGTAAAGAGGACAAAAAGCTGAATGGATCTATAATAACTGATGAATACAATGTAAATTGTAAATCTGAAATACCTGATTTTAAAGACACAACAGTAGTAAATGATCATACTAATGTCTACTTAAACAATACAGACTCTCAGTTGAAAATTAATTGTATGAATTCATCTTAAAAATACGTGTTATATACTATATATATATATATATATATATATATATATATATTTGTATATTATTCTACACTGCCTTATTTGTCAACTCTGGATATCTCCTTCTCTCCTGCGTTTCTAAGATAATCTGTGAATTCTTTCTAACTTTTGTTTTTCACCTCAACAAAGCATTCCTCCGAATTAACCTAAATACATTTGTGAATTTCTTAATGACGATAATGATAATGATATGTGAACATACGAAACACTTTTTAAAAATTTATCTCTGATGTATTTTATCACTGATTCAACCTCAACCGTTTCAGCTGATAACAACAACAATAATAATAATAATGGTTGGAAAGATTGAAAAAGAAAGTAAATAAATAAAACCTACTTTGTCTGTTCATTTTACTGCATACACCTTTTTCATTGTCGCCACAACCTCCACATTCTACACTACTTTTCTAAATAACTTTGTACATAATATTCATAAGAAGAAAAAACTAGCCCAGAATATCAAGAATAGTTGTGCTTTTTTTTACGTATTCTGTACGTATATTGTCTTTGTGCTTCTATAGTTGGTTTGTGCATAAGGAACATTAAATGATGCATTATAAATATAAATAGTTGTATGTATCTCATGCGTGTATACTTGTGTGTCTGTGTGTATTCTATTCACTCTCTGTTTTGAACACTCGGTTTACACACAAACACACTATGATTATGCTCAGTTTTTGTAATGTAATGTAATCACCTGTCACACTGATTCACGTCTATGTCCCTCTGTCGTTGTACAAGTGTGGATGTCCTAACTGCTCTACTAGTAGTATGATGAACGTGAATCCCTTTTTCACCCTTCACCTTTTCTCATCTCAATACCCCATTTGTATACATGTTTAACTCTTTCCCCCTCCCCCTTTTTTATTCTTCTTTTGTTATATTTACGCATTGGCACAGGTATATTTTGACTTTTTGTAAGTCTAATAATCGTATTCCTCACTTTCTTTCTTCCTTGTTTGGCTTGTTTTCTTGCCTAGAAATCTTTTTATTTTAAATTTTTCTTTCTTCGCGCGTTTTTAGGGTGTTCAAATTTCGTATATCATTCTAATCAAAGTGGATTTTCACTGGTCTTTTTTCTTGTCGTAATTTCTTGTTCCATGTATGTGTATGTAGCGTTTCTTTTGAACTAGAAAGAGAAAATCAACAACAACCTTGTAATTCAATGACGCCTTAAACCCACGCACATTATATATATATACGCTCCACATTTGGTTACACATAGGTGGATACAAATGGAGGAAAGTACTACCACTACACATGTGCTTTTGACCTACTGTTTCTCCTTATTTCACAACTTCCTCTTATTCCTAGTGTGTATGTGTTTTCTGTGTCTTTATGTAATTTATTTGTTATTTTAAAGAGAAAAAGAAGGAAGAAAATGACACTTGCTAATTATTTCCGGTTTCTTCTTTATTATCACTGGTATTATTTATTTATTTATTTGTATTTGTATTTTAGTCTCTGTCTTATTTCGAAATTATCACTGCTACTTTAGCCCCCTCGCTTCGCTCCTCCCTCTGTTTCCTTTTTACCCTTCCTTCAGTTCCCTAACTAAGTAAACTATAAAAACAAATAAAGGAGTGCATTTTTGACGTGAATTAATGTGCACTGTGTAAATCCATTTCATTACCATTATTATTATTATAATATAATCTCCTCTTTAGTATGAAATAAAAAAATTATTATTATTATTATTATGGCAATGGCTTCTGCGAACCTAAGTAACCATGCTTTTCTTTGTGTATTGATTGATTATTTTGAAAGCCTGACTAATTTCCTTTGTATATCCCGTATCACTTAGATGTCTGGCGGTTGCGCTTGAGAACACTTTGCTGTCTTGAAAACAGAGACTTTTAAGGATATGCTCAAAGAATCTAGTAGACTCTCTCCTCTCAGTTCTTCCTAAGTACATATGTAAACAATTGTGTTTGTAAAGTCCCAGCGAAATTGAAATGAGTATTTCCAACTTTTCCGTTCGGCAAGCTGGTCCAAACTTCTCCAGAGAAATTGATTAAAATTAAAGTAAAGTGGGTTCCTATATAAAATGGACATCTCTTGTTTTTAAAAACTTTGTCCAATGATATGAGTCATGAAACAGGTATCAAAATATATTAAACGAAATTGCATGAACTGTGATCAAAGTTTCACCTCAGACTTACAGATATTAGTCTACTTTTGTTAAACACTGTAAATAGTGTGTACCTTTGTATCAGATTTCTAGTGATTACCTTCGATTAAAGTTCATGATCGTAGATAACTGAATATGAAAAAAAAATATGTGTATATGCTGTATACAGTGATGTGTGTGTATGTGGCGATAACTGTAATTCATTTGTTAGCCTATCCATAAGAAGATATAGACAATCGGGAATTTAGATCAAGTATGATTGATTAGCGATACACACCTATTTTTATTTATTAATTTCCCTGAAGAAACAAAACGACATCGTTTTTTTTCTATAAGTTGACGTGAAATTATATTTGTTTTGAAAATCTGAATCTTGTTCTTTATGCTGAGCGCAGAAGATTTCCACACTGAATTTAGATTAATGAAGGTCCGTCTTGCTTTTATGATCCTGACTTTGACATCCTCATCTACGCAGCTTCCAGTCGAATTGATGCTGTTTAGATAACTCAATGAAACAACCTGTTTCAGATGTATTTTTTGATGATAGTGATTGATGCTTGTTGTAGATGATTGTTTATTTTCATCACCTCCGTTTTCTCTATGTTGTTCGCTTGAAGTTCTATCTTTTCTGTATCTTTTGCCAGTTTTTTGGTTTTCGCTTGTAAATCTTTGAATTTTTGTGATGTTGCACATAAATCATCCGTGAAATCCTGATCTTTCAGAGTCTTCTCGTTTCGACGTATTCATGTCTTTTCTCACTTCTTGTGGTCATTTGCGCATAATCCACTCCATCACGCTAGGAAATATCATTGATGATTTTAGATTAGGTCACTTTAGCATCATATTTTTGTGAATCTCACAAGCAGTTTAACCGCATAAGAGGCGATGAGGGTGTAGTTTGAACTATAGGACCCAAGGAGTGCGAACGCTTCAGTTACCTTGAAAGCGTGCTCGTAGTTGCCTCATGACAATTATTATTATTATTGTTATTATTATAGCGCGAATATCAACACTATTCACCAACTAAGGAGCAAATTTCATTCAGATCACATTTTTAAGTACTATTTGGACAATTTATTAACATTCTTTTCAATAATTTCTCTTCAGGTTCTTACAATTATAAAATATAATATTTGTTGTTATTACAATAAAGGCCAGTTATGTGGCGGATACATTTTTATTATATTATTATTATTTCCTTTAATTCCTAGAGGAACATAGGGCTTCAGCCATGCGTCTCCATTGCGTTCGGTTCTCTGCTAGAGTTTTCACCTGGCTCCAGGTCTGCCCACATGCTTCCATCTCTTCTTCGCATGATCTCCTCCAGGTCACCCTTGGACGACCAACTCGTCGCTTCCCTTTCGGGTTCCACTCGAGGGCTTGTCTAGTAATGTCACTTGCTGGTTTCCTCAGAGTGTGGCCAACCCATCTCCATTTCTTCCTGCTTATTTGTTTCACAGTCGGTTCCTGCTGTGTTGGTTCGTTCCCAGAGATCTCTGTTGCTGATTTTTTCTGGCTATCTGATCTTGAGTAGTATTGAGCGAAGACAGCTAGCTGTTGATGAAGGTCTGTAGCTTGTTCGAGGTGCTCTTTGTGACACGCCAAGTCTCTGATCCGTATAGTAGTACTGACTTCACATTGGAGTTGAAAATCCCGATCTTATTTTTGACGCTGAATGATGTTGACCTCCACACAGACTTGAGAGTAATGAAAGCTTGCCTTGCTTTCCCGATCCTTGCTTTGATATCCTCGTTAGTTCCGCCTGTAGTTGAAACGATGCTTCCCAAGTAGGTAAAGGAGGTAGTTTCTTTCAGGTTTCTTCCATTTATGCTGATTGCTGTCTGTTGTTGTAGAATAACAGATTAGTTATGGAGTGTCAAAATAAATAGTCGTATTTGTGTGACAAACGTGCTAGGCTGAAATCGATTACAAAATATTGTAAAACGGGAGACAATGGTGGTGATTAATCATAATAGATTTGTAGAGTGTGGAGTAGGAAAATTGACAAGTCAGTTCAAGGTTATAAAAGGTGTCAGGTGAGTGGCTAGTACAAAGTGGTAGGTATTAAAGAGGCGGAGACAGTAAGACTGCAATGAGAGGTTCATAATGAAATAACGAATATGTGAAATGAAACAGGTGGAGGCATATATTGAGAAGAGATAATATCACTAATAATAAGTCCGGATAGTATAAATGAAATATTCGATAGTATTGAGAGAATGTTTGCATGAAGGGCATAAATTATGACGAATAATAATAATTGTAATAATAGTATATATCCGTTTTCTCCTACATATTTGTTCAGCGATCGGCTCTTGCTTCGTTTGTTGGTTCGTTCATTGCCAGAGTTTCTTGTTGATAATTCTTTGTGGTCAGTTGGCCACCGGCCGGCCATTTGATCTTCAGTATGGAGTCAGAGAAGGGGCAACTGTTGATAAAAGTCTGTAACTGGCTGTTGGAAATGCTTTTCGTGACTCACGCGCAGTGCAATTCTCTGACCCGTATAGAAGAGCTGCTTGAGATACTGACTTGACATTTGTGTTGAGATCTAGGCGCTGCATTTTTCCTTACGACGCCATTATTTAGTTTCTGGCCATCTAAGTGAATCCATACTTGTACTTTAGAAGATGTTAAACAAGCCTAGGTTTCTATTAGTTGCTTTATTTCCAATGATTAATTGAAGATATGTAACACTATCTTAAATGTCTACTGACTGATTGTGTTGAAACAGTTACATTCTTGTTGATTTTTGAGTTTGTGTTGCCATATTGGAAGTATCGAATTCTGTAGCAAAGTTATTCGTTAAACTGACTACTCTATGCACAGAAAATGA